TTGTTAAGCTTATCGAGGCTCGAACGATTGTTAAGAGAGAAATGACGGTTGTTTCTTTTTTTCTCTCTCTCTCTCTCTGTCTCTCTCGGTTAGCGGATCGATCGGGGAAGATTGATGGCGACGCGGTTAAAAGTGTTTCGATGGCACTCGATCGGTGAAAAGCGAGGCGGGGAAATCGCGATGGAGGCCGAAACGCGATTAAATCTCGCCGCGAATTCTAAATAATACGCTGAAAGCGTCCGGTGACCCTTCGATCGATCAACCGCTCGACGGAATTCTGTTTTTCCCGGATCGTTTCGCCGATTCTCGGATGGCGATCGATCATTCGTTATTTTTTTTTTTTTAGAAAAGTTTAAATCCCGCCTCGAACGGATTTATTAAAGATTTCGGAAGGATTCTTTTTAGCACGAAGTCGCGCGATTTTCGTGATTTCGAGCTCGTCCAATTTTATCTCGTCTCCTCTTTTGCCGATCTTTCCTTCGCCGCCGTTTCGATATCGTACAATTTTTTCCTTTTTTCTTTTTAAATTTTGAACGATTAACGTAACGATAAAAATCACGAATAAAAATCTGCTCGTTATTCATTAACCGTCCATTATCTTTCGATGGAAACTTAGAAATTAAAAATTTCTTAAAAAGTAGACCCAACTACACATTGAAACGCTCGAATGATAAATTCTCTCTCTCTTTCTCTCTTATTAAATAGCCAAAAGAATATTGCAAGAAAAACGGAGGCTCTCTAATTATCCACCCACCCAAATTCCCCTCCTACACCCACCAACGAATCGATCAATCGCCATCCTCGAAGAAACAGGTTGCCTCTCCCCTCCCCCCTCCCTATATATATATATATATATATATACACACACACGCACACACACACGCATATACGACTCCTCGTGACCTCGAGGACGCGCGAACCGCTCGATTCTCGCGAAAATATCCGGTCGCCCGTGAGCGAGCCGCGGCCACCTCTCGGCATCCTTCGCCGAGGATGCATCGTCGCCTGGTACTTGGAAATATCGCGGTTGAAGGGGGCCATCGATCGTATATCAAAAGGCGGCAGGAGACAGCGTGGAACGCCGGCAAAAGGGGCTTGCGCGCGCCTAGGTGTTCGAAGCCAGCCGGACCAGTCGACTTGCATACCACCAGGCCAGCTTCGCCAGCCAGCCTCTACCTGCATTCCAACCTACCAGTCGACCTCATTCCGCCATTATACTATTTCATTCTCCTCTCTGCTTCCTCTCCCCTCCCCCTCCTCCTCTAGCTCTATCCTCGTCCCTTTGCCCCCGCGCCCCACGCCCCCTCTTTCCGCCCGCCCGCCCGTCCGTGTGTGTGTGTGTTTAATGTTCGCGGTGAGAGAGAGAGAGAGAGAGGGAGGGAGAGGGGAGAAGAGAAGGAGAGGAAAGAAAGGAGATTTCGAAGGACGCCGAAGGAGTTGATGATGATGATGATGATGATGATGATGATGATCACAATGGTGAATCACGTTAGGGGGAAGATTTTAATCGTGGGTGATTAATGATTGTTCTTTAACGGGGTGGAGGAATTGGGGGAAGTCGAAGTCTTGTTGAAAATTGTACTTTATAACTTCTCGGAGTTTCGGAGCACAAGGATTAAACGAAGGAAGGAAATATGGATGGAATAATCGGAATGGTACGTAAGAGAGGAGAAACGAGGTTTGTTTTTTTCTATTTGGATAATTCCAAAGTGAGTGATCGAATCGTGGCAGGAATTTTAATATTTTAATGAGGGGGGAGGGAAAGGGAGGAGATCGAGGGGAGATGAGAATTTCGTTAAGGATAGAATAAATATCGCGAGCAATTATAAGTAAAGAAAGAAGGGAAAAAAGGAAATATGTATACGAAATATCGTAGAGACGATAGAGGTAAATAATCTATGGAATATTATAACTCGAAAGTTTTAAAATGCCCGGTTTAAATCCTCCAACTGGTATCTGGTTTTCTTTCTGGTATTCACGCGCCTGCATTTTACTCGTATCTTATTTCCTCTATCGAGTTTATTTAATTCCTTCCTTCGTTTTTTTTTTTTTTTTTTCTCTCTCAAGCATACCTTCGAAGAACGCGAATATCATATTCGATGAAACGTTTGCAAACGAGCGTTAAAAAGAAGTTTTTCACGGCAGATCTGTGCAACAATTTTACAAATGATCATTGAAACGATCATTGTGTTATAATTTTAAAAAAAAGGAGTGAAATAACATAGAAACGTAGACGCTCAAGTGACGATATTTCTAATTCTCGAAAAGAGAAAACTCTTTCGCATACAAATTCATCAAAATTAACGAGATCTTGCTCAAACATCGATCCTCTTCAAATATTGGCCTGTAATACATCGTTCTACAATTACGTTCCATTCTTTGTATTTGAGAAATATAATCCCCGATATTTTCCATATAAGAACAATATACACAAACAAAAAATTCGTATTAAATTCAATTTTTAGAACAAATAAAAAAAGAAAAAAAGATAAAAACTCCTCTCTTCTTTAAATATCGATCTATGACACACATTTCTACAATTACATTTCCATTCTCCCTGTTTGAAATTTCGTTCCACAAACCCTCAAAAAAAAAAAAAAGGAAAATCTATCTAAATCTAATTCTAAATCTAAATCTAAATTTTCGTGATACACGAACGAAAATTCCTGGCAAATCGCCTTAAAAAAATCTCAACATTTTAGGGATATTTCGAATTCAAGCTCGAACGAAAAAAATCCAGAGAAGATTCGCGCTTACCAATAATCGAAAAAAAGGAGAAAGGATCCTCCCGTTTTCGACCCAATAGCGCAGATGGCACAGGCGCAGCCACCACCCCCTCGTTCACTTCCGGCCTTCGTGGTCGCGCAAAAACTTCTCGAGTTGTTTTTTATCGCGAAACTTGCCCCTTTGCCTTCCTTCCACCCTTTCTTCGTGGCGTGGCTCGTCGATCGAGATTCCCTCTCTCCCCCCTCTCACGCGAGATTACCGTGGAAGAGAGAAGTTGGTGGGAGGGGATTGGATAAGTTTCTTGCGAACAAGGAGCGCTTGTGATTACCGTGACTCCGGTAATTGCCCAACTTCACGGCTACTGTTTTTCCGTGTACATGTTCGAGGATCGTAATTTTTCTCTCTCTCTCTCTCTCTCTCTCTCTCTCTGTCGTGACTACGTGGATTAATCGGCCCGCTTCCATCGAGGCTCGTCGAGTAAATAGAATTCTGTTTTCTTTCCGCGTGTTTTAATGCAACAATCCTTCTGTCTATAACGGATATTGGAACTTTCTTCTGGATTTTGTTTATTCGCGGTGTTTATTATCGGTGTAGAGGCAGTGGATAGCCTCTTCGATTTTGCTGATTGTTCATTCAGGGGATAATAATAGGAGTATGATTTTATTTTTTTTATAAAAAAAATAACGTGTCTACGTTCCATTGTTACAAGATTCTTTGACCCCTTTGGCGAGATTATTCGATCTTTACGTACAACGATTTGACAAAAATACGAAAACGAAAAGAAGGATTGTTGAGTGGGCAGTGGAAAACAATAAATAAAATATACGGGTTTAGCTGAATGAATACATTTGATTATACGTGATTGCGCGTATCTGTTTATAAAACATTTGAAATACGTCGAATATCGAAGAGAAACAAATAGCTACCAACTATGAAATAGTAATGTTGCTGACAACATTCAATAATGAAATCATATATATAAAATTTCAGTGAACTTTAAATTCTATAACAAGGATAATAATTTTTAGATCGAGTTTTTAATCGATCTCGACTTTGTCGACACGGGAAATTTGCAAAGTTTTAAAAGCGAATCGAGCGAAGTTAAATCGATTAAATCGCACTACTTTCCTTCCATCCCCTATTTTCGAAACATCTATTGATATCCAAAACGATTAGAAGAACGATTAATCGAAGCGAAACGTTCGAAAGGAGCAAGAAAACACTTTTATCAGGGCAGTTGTGACAAAAGTGGATGCTCCTTCCACCATTGTTCGGTGGCGGCTTAACTTTCTGAACAACTTTTCACCCCGTGCTCCGTAAATTACCCCGCCGGGTTTATTAAGGCCAGCTACTTTCGTCACGGCTCCACGTCATCGGGCTCGATTCTTCTCTCTTCCTCCTTTTCACGCCCTCCTCCTTCTCCTTTCCCTCCCCTTCATTTCGACGGATTAACTCGTTCGAGGCCGACGAGGGAATCCATTAAGCCGACGATTCGCCTGTTTCCCTTCTTGCTTGCCAAATTGATTTCGATCGATTTTATAAATATCGACGATTTTTTTTATTTTTGAAGCGTTTTGTCACGTTTTGTTTTAAAGTGTTTTCTCTTTTCCTCCTTTTTACGCTCTCCTCCCCCTCCTCCTTCTTCCCTCCTCCCCTCATTTCGACGGATTAACTCGTTCGACGAAGGAATCCATTAAAAAAAGCCGACGACTTTTTTTATTTTTAAAGTGTTTTCACGTTTTGATCACATTTGAAACGATGGATCGAATGGTCTAATTTTTCTTTTTTTTCTATATCGAATATAGATTTTTGATCTGAGATCGCGAAGGAGTACTTTTTTATAAAATTATCTAACTTTTACAATAATTCCAATCTCGATCCTCCATTCTCATTATTATCCTCTATATTATCCTCTATCGATTAATAATTTTCTAAGTAATCGATCCTACAATCCAATTTCCTACAACAATTCCACTTTCTAATATAAACTACCAATCCAGTTTTAACTTTGATTTCCTAACATGCTCGCGTTATTATCAGTTCGTGTATGTATATATATATATACAAGTGCAACGAAAATTTTTTTCCAAAGAAGAAGCAGGAAAAACGAGAAGGAAGAAGGAAAGGAATCAGCGTTTTCGAACAAATAAAATTAATTCTAGCTGGAGATTAATTCGAATTTGCCGATACTGTCGAATATAATCGAGGAATCGTTCGATTTCGGTTAATTTTGAGATTATTGGTGAATTCCTTAACGAAAACAACGAAAACAGATACGTGATCACGGAGCTGCTTCAGAGCGATTTGCACAAGATCATCGTCAGCCCTCAGCATCTAAGTCCAGACCACATTAAGGTCTTCCTGTATCAGATCCTCAGAGGTGAGTGAAAACGTTTCTTTATCTTTGTTGCATGTGTATCACGTTTAAATAGTTTTTTCTTTTTCGTGGAAATTAAATAAATTAAATAATGTATTACTGTATTCATGACTCGTGGTATACAAATTTTACCGTATGCCATAATTTTTGGCCTCGAATTGATCAGAAATTAATTCAGATTTCGAATCGATAATCTAACGAATAATTCGACAAACGCGCACGAATGCGAAATTTTACCACGACTATTTTCAGTGACGCAGCTCTGGATACAACACGTATGACTCAAACCTTGTTCACTCGTGAATCATCGCCTCTCTCTCTCTCTATTAATTCGAAAACCCAATTATCAACAAAATATTTACGTTTCGTTTCGCCGTTTTTCACGAGCGTCGCGTCCTCGAACGTTCTAACTCCGAAGAAGCAAACGTATAGTAAAGAAAGAGAAAGAGAGAGAGAGAGAGGAGAGTATTCGGAGGCCATTTTGTCGGAGCGAGCCTTCTCGGTTCGTTAGCCACGAGTCAATTTCCTGCGAGTCTCTGAAACTCAATGATTTGCATGCTTTCCTACTTGTATCGCGGAAATCGCGTTTCTTTGCGAAAATCTACGTGAATGGTTGAAAGAAAAAGGGAGAGAGAGAGAAAGAAATAAATACATCCGATTTCGAATTAATTTGAATTCTTTTCGAAAATTTTTGCATCATGATTCTATATTTCCTTTAAATAAAAGGAAGCGATGAACGAAACATCAAATATTCCGTCGAAAAAGTTCAAATTTTTCTTACACGAACGAAATCCAGAGCGAAAAAAATCGAACTCCTTCAATTCGAGGTAAAAACACTATATTAACTAAAAAATGAGAGGCAAAAAAGTTGACCGAGGGCTAATAAGATCGGTTTAAATCGCATTGAATCGTTCGCGTGAATCGAAAGTGAAATAGCCCGATATCAAACATCAAATATTCCGTCGAAGAAGTTCAAATTTTTCTTACACGAACGAAATCCAGAGCGAAAAAAATCGAATTCCTTCAACTCGAGGTAAAAACACTATATTAACTAAAAAATGAGAGGCAAAAAAGTTGACCGAGGGCTAATAAGATCGGTTTAAATCGCATTGAATCGTTCGCGTGAATCGAAAGTGAAATAGCCCGATATCAAACGCAGATATTAATTCGCGACATTTTTTCTCCATCGTCTCTCTTTTTCTCTTTCTTTCTCGCGATTTTTTCCTATCGCAATCTCGTTCGAAAAGCGCGATTCGATCGACGCAATAAAAACGGAACCGGAAGAGGAAGGGAAGGGAATAGAGGAGAGGAAGGAGGAGGAAGAGGAGGAGGAGGAAGAGATCAGAGGCGTTACTCGCTTCTGTTCTCACGCGAATCACGGAAGAAGAATTTCAGGAGAACATTTCGATGTTCTTTCTCTTTTCTTTAATTCGTATCAATCGAATTATTCGAGCTAAGACGATGAAATAATCGTGAAAATCGTTTAATGACGCAGCGAACGAGAAAAAATTCGATTTCGTTATTAATATCGTTATCGATATCGCACACTGCACTAATTGTTCCTTTTTTTAAACAATGATCGTTTAATTTATTTATAATTATCTAAATTAATTACTCACCGAGCGATATAACGTAATATTCGTTCGACGAGGAGAGGAGAAACACGACCGTACCGCTCGGTGTCCGGAAACCGACTCCGTTTAAATCGATATTTCGAATGTCAACAAACGAGCGATTGTGTCGTTTCCCGTGCCGCGGTCGTACACACGGCCGTACAACGATGTTTATATATAAGAATTATTATAGAATATTTGTAAAACTCTCTGATTCGTTGTCGGATAATTGTTTATTGATAATTTTTTTTTTTTTTTTAATGTATCTTGTATCGGATTTACATTTTAAATTTTAAAATTTAATCAAATAAATTTTAAATTTGTAAAATTAATTATTAATCTTTGTTACATATGTACGAATATTATTGTTGTTGTTAACATTGTTATAAATAAATATCAAACCGCTCTAAAAAATGATTTTTCACCGCGTTTGTAAAAAAGTATCGTAAAATATTTCTAAAACTCTCTGATTCTCTGTTGTTGACTTTTCAATGATTATTATTTAACGATATTTTTTTTTTTTAAAGAAATGTATCTTGTATTGAATTTAAATTAATCATTAATCTTTGTTGTCTTTCTCGAACGTTCGCCACTCCATCAAACAATTATAACAAATACTTTTTGTGAACGCGAATCTGCTCAACAAACATCCATAATTCAACAATTGAAAATTGAATATAAATAATATATATCTATTTATTACATTGCTGCAACACGTAAATGATTTTTATCGAAAAACCTGCCACCACTTTTCTATTTAACTTCTCTAACGTTAAATAAATCTGACGTTAAAAGAATCACCGGGGGAGAAAATAAAATGGGATGGATAAATAAAAGGGGATGGGGAACGAAAAATCATAATTTAGACGAGGATGGAAGAGAGAGAGAGAGAAAGGGAGAAAAGAAAAGATTAAAGAGAGAATGCGGACGGGAAGTGAGATGGATCGTTTCGCGAGAAACGCGGCTTGGAAAGCTTGGAACACGAGTGGTGGTGGTGGTGCGGTTAGACTTTCAAATGAGGAGGGATTTAGCGTTTTAACAAAGAAGCAGAAACAAATGAGGAGGGAATATATCGCGGGGAATGACGGGGAGAAGGGCGGTTGACGACTTCTTCTCCTCCCGGCCTCTTGATAACAATTATCGTTCCGTGCTTCCACGGGGAAAAAAAACCCTAGTGGTGGTGGTGGTGGGAACGAAGGAAAGATCGAGATCAAACGGTAATTTTCGCGTGAATACTCGCGATAGTCCCTGCAACTCGTGCAACACTCGAGGTCGCGACGAGAAAGTCGTCGGATTTTTATGGGGGGAAGAAAAGTGGTCACCGTTCCTTCAACAGTATTTTTAACGTGGATACGCACCCTTTAAATTGGCGATCACCTTTTCTTTTTTGTACAAAAATTTTCTACAACAATATTTTTAACGCGCCTTTTGTTATCAGTAATCCTTTAATTCGAATTGAAATTTTCGCGAAAGAATTATTATCATTACAATCGTACTTACGTGTATGTATTAATGATAATTATTGTGCCATGTTGGAACGTTAGAATTATACAATTTATAGGAAAAAAAAATAATTATTTCCAATATTTTATAATGATTGTAACGCAAAGTTGCATCGAGAAATTTAAAAATTTAGAAATTTAGAAATTCGCACAATAATTATCATTAATACATACACATACGTAAATATGTATTAATGATAATAATTCTTTTCGCGAAAATTTCAATTCGAATTAAAGGATTACTGATCAACAGAAGGCGCGTTAAAAATATTGTTGTAGAAAATTTTTGTACAAAAAAGAAAAGGTGATCGCCAATTTAAAGGAGAGATAAGATAAATTTTATTAAAAATTAAGAGAAGGAATTCTTCGAAATTCGAGAAAGGATCCCCGATTCTGAAAACTTTGGGGAAAGATCAGAGCAATATCGAATAATCCGAGGATTAATTAATCTCTACTTTACGCGATCGTATCGCGTCTGAAAAGTTCCTCCATTTGGAAAACTCCTTGGTGGAATGATATCGATTTCTTCCCCCCTTTCCTCCGAAACCTGGATAGGTATCTCCATTGTCGGGATGAGCGTGGATTTCTTCAGAAACTCCTCTCGAGGAAACAAGAAGAAGAAGAAGAAAAAGTGGATTTCTTTCTTTCGTGTTGTTCAAAGAAAAGAAAACGAGTGTACGTAAATCCGAATGATTCGGTGGAAGAGAGAAAGAGAGAAGAAGACCAATAGTGGATAAAACTTCTTCTTCTTCTTCTTGTAAAAATCTACGTATCTTGCCTGGAGGGTTGAGAAAGAGTAAACAGGATCGTTTCTATTCATCCCTCGAGATCATCTCTCGCGACTTCAACTCTTCGTCGAATTACATTTCTGCCCATCTCTCACGTTCTCTGACCTTGTATGTCTGACGAGTCACGGTCTCGTTCTCCTTTCCACTCGATTTCACCCGTGCTCACCCTAAATAAGACGCTAATTTCTCGCCGGTTCCTCTCTCAACTCTGTAAGAATACCCGTCGAGCCACTCCGTCTCTTCTTTTCGACCGTCTTCTGCCTCGCTCAGAAGAAGTTGTTGTCACCCGACTCTTTAACTGGAGCCTCGAATTTCAGCCCTGGGTGTCTTGAAAAACGATTCTTTCGAAAGAGCTCGTCGAAGTAATTTTTCACGTACGAATTTTATATTTTTGATTGGATTGGATAATTATTCTCTTCCTACGTATTGGATAAATAGTGCGAGTAAATAATTTAAAATATCAAAATTATTTTATATAATTGACGGATGTAGTATGAAAGAAATTATTTCGAATATTTTTAGAACGGAGAGCATCTCGTTGTGGAATCTACTCTCGAGACGGCGAAATAAATGTTTTCGATTCACTTGGTGGATTATTCATCGAGGCTTGGCAGTAAGGCTCTTTGCGCGACATACTTTCCTATCACGATGGAAAATCGTCTGCAAGTCAAGCGCGAAGTTCATTTCTGTTTGCGCGATTGCCGATCGATTGCGCGACTCCAGTCATTTGTCGCTTATGAAAAGACTAAGCTGTTCTGTTAATTAATTTTCTTTCCTCAATATTTTTATAAAGCGAAGTATTTCCTTTCCCTTCTCGAAATAAATTCGAAGAAAGATCATTGGATGAGTCGTAATTTTTCGATAATCACGTGTAAGGGAAATAGTATGTGAAGTAAAATCCATATGTTTGAAACATATAGTCTGATCTTTCCAGTAATATATATAGGAAATCTATGAATAGAATAGCGTTTCTGTGTGTGATTAAAGAGAGGAGGGGACTCGAGGGTGAATACGAGAGACGCAGTAGTAGTTCTCGATAGTTTTCGACGAACTGTTAAGAGAACGTTTCCCAGAAAGACATATTACATATGTATGCGGGT